AGGAGATAAAGTGGATAGTTTTTTTTTTAATTTAAATTTTAAATAAAAAAATATTATTTTATGTCTATCTCTCTCTTAAAATGACATAACTTTATGTTATTTAAAATGAAAAACATTTTTCCCATATAAGATTTAGCTTGAAAATGTAGTACAACAGAAAATAAAAATAATCCATATATCCTCCCCTTTAATCTTATCCGTCCAAATCCAATCTAAAATAATCCTGCATCCCTAATTCCACCACATTCAAGAAGAATGAGTCAAGAGGGAAAAGAATGAAGAAAAGGAGGCATTTTCATCTTTAACCATGTGTGACAACTAACAAGACTCATATTGTATTTATGTATAGGTACTCAAATATATAGTAGTGATAAACACCATTCGACGTAGCTACTCAAATGGATTATTCTAAGTTTTGATGAGTGGCCTCAAGCATCAAAGAGGGAATAATCCGCATTCCGCACCACAATCTTTAAAATCTCAGCCGTTCACTTTGATCTTACGAAATCGCCCAAAAAATGCCCGATCCTCCGGCTAGGATGAGCCCCACGAACCAATTGGGTAGGTCCCACGATCGACCATGATGGGGCCACGTGTCTGTTCGAGTTCGAACAAATACGAGCTGTCACCGTAGAAAAAGAAAAGTCAGATTTTTTCTAGAATGCCCTTTTGCCATCATCCACCACGTGTCCGACCACCATTCGTGATTGACATCGTTGTTACATTCTTTCCTCTCTCATGTTATCGGTTACTTCTTCGCTCCTTTCTCTCCTTCTCTCTCTCTCTCTCTCTCTCTCTCTCTCTCTCTCTCTGCACAACTTTTCAGTTTTTTACTTTCTTTTCCTACCCGACTACGTTTTCTCTAGATCCAACTACTTCCATTATCAGCAAACGCTTCTTGTTTATTTTGTTTCAATCTAGCTCCCAAACCAGTACTGTGATAGGTCCATCACCCCCCTTTTCTCTCTATGCCATTCCCCCAGGTTTGTTTCATCCTTTTCTTATTAAATTTTTTTTTTTGTTCTTCCTTATCATATCATGGATTCCTTTTTTTTTTTCATTTCATTTGATGGGTATTTGGATCTGATTTTTAATTCTGTAGGAGTGATTGATTTTGGAAAATTTTGATGCTTTTAATTCTGGGTCGAGTAGATCTTGTGGTTTTGGTATGTGTGTGTGTGGTTGTTTGTTGTTTGGGGTGTGTGTGTGTGTGTGCATGGGTTTAACTTGAATTGAGTTTATTGATGTGTTTCTAACAAATTGGGTGGATCTGGACAGTGTTATCATGTTGTTGTTCGTTTTAGGTTCTCTCTGGGTGCCAATAGAATTTGAGGGAAAGAAATGAGGTCTGCTAATTTTGTTTTCCTGAAAAATCATCAAATCAAACTCACTGAAGATAAACAATTGGCTTTAAGTTTGGTGGGTATTCTCTTTAGGCAATAATTCATCATGTTTATACACTTATAAAAGTCATTGAAGGACTTAATTTCAAGTAATTCTTATTCACTTTTGACTTTGGTTGTTTGGTGGATGTGGTATTTGTGGACGGTTAATTTAGAATGAATCGGCTAATACTGTAGTTGGTATTATCTCAGTTGCATGTTTGGTTAAAGCAGTGTCGATGCCATGTGGACATCAGTTATCTGTTTTTCATAGTGATCAACTCTTAACTTGACTTGTTAAGTTGTTATCATGATCCTTTCCTAAGTTTCTATGTCTCCCGCCCCCCTCCCCACAACAACAACAACAACACACACACACACACACACACACACAACACCCAAAAAGAAAAAAAAGAGAGGGTGTTTTTGAAAAAATTTATTAGTTAGGACTACGCAGATTAAAATGTGCAAAATATAAAGGTATAATATGTCTTTTTGCATTACACTTTCATCCCTCCTGCCCCTTTTCATTCCTCAATCTGTCCTTAACAAAGTCAGGGTATACACTTGACTTGAGATGAGAATTTGATATAGTGTTTTTACATTTAGTCAACATGATTCGGTCATGCTATTGTTTTCTTTTCTTTTCTTTTTAACCAATAACAAGTTTTATGCACTATTATAGAAATAATAGAAATTTCAATTCTAAAGTTTTTGATCAAACCTGTTTAATAGTACTAAACTTGGAAATTAGTTATAATTTTGGTATAAAGTTTTATGACTATATTTTCTATTCACATGATTATGTTTATGTATATCTTTCTGTGAATCTCTTAATCACAAGTTGACTAGTTTTAATGGAAATTTCATTTGTTCTTGAGATATTTCTATTCCTGTAATTGTTCGATTGCATGTTCCATGTTGGCTTGTCTAGTCTCTTTAACTTTGCCATGCCCTGATTTGTTTGAGGGTGTTTCTGTCATTCTCTGGCTGTAAATGAATCATGTCTATTTGTCTTTTCGAATACTTCAGTTTGTGATGATTTCGCTGTGTTACTGCTTGTACTACAGTTGGGAAGGGTGTACTTGAACCAGAGTGGAGCTTCAGTGTGCGGATTTATTATTAGTTTTGTAGACCTGTTGGCTTTTTCAGGATGGGCAAGGGCAAGGGTTGTGCGAAGTTTGGAAGAATGGGGCCATCTATGAGTGCTTATGAATTTTCCTTGATGTTGTCTCCTGTTGTTTCTTTTTGGGACTGCATAGTTCGCAAAATGAGGTACTCCTACAGACCTGAGTGGGTGTAGTGGTTGGAACGTATTATTAGTAATATTCTTGATACTTCAACTAATTAGGATATATTAGCATAACAGTTTATGGAACGAGGGAAAAAAATTATAGAAAAATGTATACAACTCTAAAGAAATTCTCTTGAAGGATAGGAGTTCGGAAAAATCATTTTAGGTATTTATATAGATAGTAAGTTCTATGGAAAACATGGCGTGTAATAAAGGGCAACATGTGAGGAAGGCAAAGAAGAAGCAAGTCAAAGATGAATTGGATCGTCTTAAACAGGCTGAAAAGAAAAAGAGGCGCTTGGAAAAAGCTCTAGCCACTTCTGCTGCCATCATTTCTGAACTGGAAAAAAAGAAGCAGAAAAAGAAGGAAGAACAACAAAGACTTGATGAAGAGGGTGCTGCAATTGCTGAAGCCGTCGCTCTGCATGTTCTACTTGGTGAAGACTCGGATGATTCATGTAAGGTTGTTATAAATGACAGTGGATGCAAGACCTGGAATTGTGATCATAATCTTGACTTCTTCATGGGTGGAAAAAGAGCTTGCTTTCCTCATCTAGATGGTGGCACATGGTCTGTTACTGCTGAAAATGGCAATTGGTCTTTCTCATCTGGGTCTTTTGGAAACAATGTGCACGAATCACTATACGAAGAAGGATGGGGTAGTGCTGGATTCTCTGCTGATCTTATAGCAGCACAAGCAGTTAGATCACTTCAGATTGCAGAGAACGCAGATGAAGATAGGATTCTCTTTTAATGGAATGCTGAAATGATAGATTAATTTTTTGTGTCTTTGCTGGTGACTGGGTGAAGTCTTTTCTTATTTTACTGAAGGTTGTCATCTGTATATAATTATATATCATGAGTCATGTGCTTGTCAAACACATTCTGCTTCTGCTGTGATTGAACATGTTGCAGTGTCACCATGTTTTATCCTGATTTTCTTTAACTGCATGCGAGGCTGCTAATTTTCTATGTGGAGTGACTTTCATACTCGAGTGTTGTAGAGATTTATACTTTTTGGAGCTGATTATCAATAATATAAATGCACGAGTGGACTCCTAATTTATATACTTGCATTGTTGCTTCTTGGATTACATCTCATAAATAGGTGGTTTTGCAATTTTGTTAATCTAAGCTGCTGCTTTTTTTTCAACGACTAAACGTTGAAGTTTATGTAACTTGCCTTTTTCTGCCGTCTTGTTAATTCATGTTTTATAAATGCCCAATAAATAAATGGGGTTTGTTGCATTTTCTGTGCTGCTCTTTGTGTCTTGCACGGTGTCCTTTTTCGTGATGAAGTTTGTAGATGGAAAAGTGCTTTTTTAAAAATGAATTAGCGAACAGTTCATTATATGTTGGATTCTCACTTTTGGAACATCTGTAGTTGTCTTTGTGCTTTAACCCAAATCAGTTGGACAATTAAACAATTGATTGACTCTTCTCAGCAACTAGTATTTAAAAACAAAAACACGAAGGATGGGTGTATACAGATTAATTATATCAACGTGGTGTCACCACTTTCAAGTTTAAGGATTAAAAACCAAAGTGTAATGCGCATGTCAAGCATTAACACGAAGCAGCCTTTATATTGTTCATGAATAAGGGGAACATCTTAGGAAGGGAGCTGAAAATATAACAAGGCCTTATATTATGCTGCCAAGTTGGAGAACCAATATCAAGAATCATGAAATGCCTTGATTGTTGAAAACACTTTCTTTCTTTCTTTCTTTTTTTTGCGAATGGAGTTCATGCTTCACGCCATTTGACTTTTTGGAGCTCGGCAAAGTATTCGACATTATCTGACGGCTTTCATCATCACAAGCATCATAAATATTGGATATTGTAATACCGTGTGATCACATAATTTTTCTGCTATTTGTAAATACTATTTGTTCACATTCTTCTCTCATTAGAGGTGGTATATGAGAGATTGTATAGACTGACCTAACAAAAATTATAGCATTCCCATTTTACATTAATTAAATTAATAATTTATGACTTTTTATATCAAACAAATATTATATATCTAAAACGATAACGCGAACATTTTATTAAATCTATTAAAGAATTCAGTAAAAACGATCCAACGCAGTACGAGCTTGTGCAGCAAACTCTAAAATTTGTTTTTTATTTTTGTCAAAAACTCTTAATCATATTTTGGATGAAAGGCCATTAACTGCAAACAGCCCATAATTCAATAACGGGGAGATTTTAACTCGATTATGTTTGATCAAGTCATATTCAGAGAGGAAAAAGAACAGTACGAACATATTTTCAGTAAACATTGTCTCATGAGGCACCAATAAGAAAATTTGAGTTGAACAAGAAATGATCACTTTACATTTTGACACACGTGAAATTGCTTTTACTTTTTTGACTTAAAATACACATAGCAGACCTATGCTTTCAATAGTGTCACTCAACCACCATGTGCAGATGTCAACTTTGTGATAGCATTGCCTCATCATATTATTTTTCTTGGTAGTTGTTAAAGCTCAACCTCACCCCGATTCTCAACTTCTGAACTACTAGATGGTTTCGCACCATTAGTAATAAGATTTTTCAACCAAGCAGCTTGAATTCTAGGAGATCCTCCTCTATTTGCATTACTAGGAGAGTCCATTCCAGTTTTAACATTATTAGTAACGCCTAAGAGAAACCGGTAAGCTACTTTGCTTGCTGATACAATCTCTGTTTTGGCTTGTCGGAACTGCAATAACCAGTTATTATTATTGTCAGCACAATCATAGACTTTCTCATAATCTGCCAATACTAATAACCAATAAGTACATGATTTGAAGTAAGACAAAATATAATTGAAATAAAACAAAGATCAAAGAGATGTTATAACGTAAGAGCATACAAAAGTATTTTTTTTTTTTAAAAAAAAAAAACTCACCCGTAATGCTGTATTCCCAGCCACTTCCATAGCAATATCACCAGCGTTGGCAAACCTATTTACCCAACCTGTCATGGAAGCTGTGAGAATACAAAGTGGAAGCAGGAAAATTTACAGAAGCAATAATTCACAAGATGGATCAAATATCAATGTTAAAACCTTCAGTGCTTGCTTGGCATATAGACTTCGACAATGGGAAGTGGCAGATTATCGTATTTTCCCTAAAGTCCACTAACTTCTTCTTCTTAGCACAAGTACTTCTGAAACCACTCAAGTCCCTTACTCTTTTCATTTCAGAGTTTCTCTCACCCAGTCCATAACACTATAGACTCAACTTGATCAATCCCTAACTTTATCTCCCTAAGTTCTACACAAAATAGGCAGTTCCAAAGCAAGCCAACAGCATTTCTTTGGAGGAAATTCTTGAATATATATGAAGACAACGTAATAGATAAGTATGACGCATAGTTATATAATTTGAAGTTTAGGACGAAAGTTAAGTAAATGAAATTCGCGTTACAGTATAAGAATGAACAAGTAACTACGTATTTGTAATTCAGTTTCCTAAACAAGAAGTATGATCCTACACGGAGCAATCTTATTCACAAAAAAGGAAGTTTAGCAAGAAACCTGGCTGGCATTATAGATAATTGACATGATGTATGAAGACATATTAGAATGCAGAGTAGAATAATGACTAAGTCATTGTTTATCAACAAAAAAGAAAAAAGGAAAAAGAAAAAACTTACAGAATAAAAACTAAACTACATAATTAGGTGTTTACCTGGAGGTTTTGGCACGCCAAGCCTTACACAGAATTCATCACAGAAGTGGTTGCAGTTTTTGGACAAGAGGTCATACGAATTTCCAGGCCACTCTCTGCTGAGTTCTCTTAATATTTGATTTACCTTGAAAATGTTAAAGTTTGTTCTCCCAAGAACAAGGGATTTGCGATATGTATACATCTCATTCTTTCGTGAAGGGCAACTAAAAACTCCAGTACCTTCCTCACAGAATCCAAATGACCATTCATCATCTCCATAAACCTGTGACGCCAGCACATACAATCCCAATATGTCAGCATGCCACAGAATCAATGCCTATATTTATTCCATTGTTACATCCAAAATGTACACACACACCAAGAACCAAAAGAAACCATGCCAAAAGTCAAGAAGCCCATAAAACAAGAAATAATAATAATCAACGTTAGTGTCAAACAACAAAAGAATGTCATCGATTACCATTTCTATACTTATACAGAGAACCAAAAGAAAAGAGAACGAGAAAGAGTTGTAAAGACCTGAACGGCGCTGTGGAATATACCACCAAGACCAATGCCATCCTTGAAGAACTTGTTGATGTGAAGAACGGTGCTATTGGTCTTCTCCGACCCATTGGTCACGTCGTATATGTGCAGTGTCACTTTCGCCATCTTCACCAAAAATCGTAACTTGGCTCAACCCCACTTCCTCTTTCTCTCTGTAGATTCTATCTATCTGTCTGGGTCTCTCTCTATCTATCTGGGTCTATCTCTCTATCTCTCTCACACACACGCATAGAAATGATGCAGTTCAAGGAAAAGCTAGCAGCTCCATTCCACCTATGTTCTTGTTCTCTGGGATTTGAATCAGAGTGAGATTCAGAAAAAGCGTACCCTTAAACTTTTTCTTGAAATAGTGAAAAGAACAAAGAAAAGGGGTAGTAATGAAATAAATGACTATATTAATAGTGAAGAAAAATAACGGATGCTGTGGAGCTGTTTTCTTAATTGTTAGGATTATCGCAAAAGGGGGCGCTAATCTTTGTGTTTCAAGATTCGGTTTCATCTGGATAACGCTCGCAGAATCCCGTTTACTGTTATACGAATCAATTCAATCTCCACATTATGAAACCGTTTGCATGTTTTTTTTTTTTTTTTTTTTTGAGTTCAACCTTACCAAAACACTTTTTTATCATAAGAGTATATTTTTATAAAGAATAAAATAAAAAAAAAAATTACAAATTCTAAATAGAAGTTTGTTTCAAGATGTATAATATTTTTTTTTTGTCAATTCTCATTTTTTTTTGTAATTATGTTTATAATTTTTTTTTCTCTATCTTAGTGATAAATTATTTCCTTCCAAAATGTGGAGAAATAAAAATCATGGGAGAGAAAGTGAGTGATTTTTTTAATTTAAATTTTAAATAAAAATATTTTCTTCTTTTTATTTCTCTCTTAAAATGATGTAACTTTATGTCATTTAAAATGACAAACACTTTTCTCATAACTTATATTATATTTTATTAAATTTTTATCTTTTATTTCTTATCATATTTGTATTTATCTAAATAATAAAAAGTTTCTAATATTTTTTATAATAATTTCAATTAGAAATAGAGTCTGAAAAATTAGTTTGAGTTTGAGTTTCTAATATTTTTTCAAATAATTTATTTTTAGTTTGAGTTTTAAAATAATTTTAAAGTTAAAATATTCATATAATCATAAATAAATTTTTATCTTTATTTTAAAATTTTAATTTTTAACTTTAACTCAAAAGTAATCTTTAACTTAAAAAAATTTCTAAATAAATTCTAAATCTATCCCTTTGATTTCTGTTTATATATTTTTTTCAAAAGTTTTTAAAACTTTTGTTGAGTCAAATTTGTTCTAGATGTCGGCTTATTAAAATTTTAAAATGATATTCTTATTTACACTGTAGAAGTGATTGTACTTGTCCACGAAAAAAAAAGTGAGTTTACTTTATGATTCAAATAAAATTATTTCTTCTATACTTACTCTTAAAATATCATTTCCATAAAAAAAAAAATATTTCTTTCTGCAAATCAAGTCTTAACATGAATTATTTTAAAATCAATTCTACTAAATTATAAACTAAACAGTTCCTCAATCGGAATAGGTATATTTCATGTTCCAATTTAGGTCACACTTTTAAGTTGTTCTAATTTGTCTGATGTAATATTCTAAATTATTATTATTATTATTATTTTGATAATTAAAAAATAATAATATATTTATCTTTTTTACTTCAACATCATCATTAAAAATATCATTATTCCAAAATAGTTGGGGTTTATGGTCCATAAATTCCAATAAAAATTAAGGAAAACAAAGAAAAAATGAAATAATAATAATAACAAAATAAAAAAAAATAGATAAGAGACGAAAAATAAACAACAGTAAAAAAATGAAAACTAGATCGGATGATAAACAAAAAAATATAGGAAAGAACGACTAAAAGTAATTTGTAATATAGGAAAAAAACAAATTTAATCCTCCACAATGCTAATAATTTTCCTCCACTTCATCCTAAAAGATCCATCAATTTATTACTCATTCTAATAAGTCTTGCTTAATTACTTTTCCCATTGCATAACACGATTTTTTTCTATTTTAAAATAATTATTACTCTTGAAGTTTCAGTTCATTTCAAATTATTTGTCACTTAAAAAAATTAAGAAAGTATTTATTATTTATTCTATCTTTTTTTTTTTGGTATAACCTGGAGGGTATCTCATTCAACCTCCTCCGGTCACCTTGTCCTCGGAGTACGGCCCGAAGGCTACTCCTTCATTAGAACAGTGGGTTGTAAGTTATATCATCAGTAAATCACTAATACATGTTCATCAGTAATCATTCAAGAACATGAAAGAATCTTTAGAATTCATGGTTTTCACATAAGAGTGTACCTTTCTCCATTAGTGCGGAAGAACTTTGATGGTGGAATGTCTTTCTCAGAGTCTTGACCGTTTTCCCTACTTGTATCTTCTTTGACAGTGATTGGATACAACTATGATGGGCAGACAATGAAGGAGAGTTTCTCTGAAGATACTGTTCTCAGAAAACTACCAAAAACTCTTATAATAACTGAACCTGTCACCAGTTATTTATTCATAAATAACTTCCCAACTCCCTTAAACCGTCAATTACCGTTATGCCCCTTTTATTAATTAAACCAACTGACACATAATATTACACATGAGACAAATAGTTTTACATTCTCCCACTTGGCTCATGTCATGAGGTGTCCCTTCATGATTTAATCAACATTTATTATAATGCGCATTTATTAGGCTAGAGGTTCCATACATTGACTTCATCATAATTCATTATTAGAAATAAAATCAACACGAGTCATGGCGGTTGTATGCTATCAAGTCGGCATAGTCCCTTCCATGTACCACTATATTGACTCTTCTTCCTAACATGATACTTTAATAGGAAGTATACATTATGTCCAACAATAATGTCTTCATAATGGACCACAAATATTTTCAATATCATCACATATACTTGCATGCATTCATAAATTGAAAATAAGACAATAACAGAAACATATATTCATCAATGAGCTCAGAGTGTCAACACTTAATACATAACAATAATTATCATCATTCACTAGCTGACATAATGCCCATTCTACATACATGACCAGTAAATGTCTTGGGCAGTAATCTCTTTGTCAAGGGATCAGCTATCATAAGATCGATGCTAATATGCTCTATAGACACTCTTTGTTTCTGAACCTCTTCTTTAACGGCAAAGTACTTTAATTCCATATGTTTATCACCTTTGGAATATTTGTCGTTTTTAGAAAAGAAGACTGCTGCAGAATTATCACAATAAATTTTCTGCTATTTTTCAAAATTGTCGACTAATCCAAGCCCTGAAATAAAGTTCTGTAGCCATTTAGCCTGAATCGTGGCTTCAAAGCACGCCACAAATTCAGCTTCCATAGTGGACGCAGCTATTACAGTCTGACTTCGCACTTTTCCATGATATAGCTCCTTCAGCTAAAAGATACAGGTAACCACATGTAGACTTTCTTGTGTCTACGCATCCTGCAAAATCCGAATCTGTGTATCCAATCACTTCAAGGTTGCTAGACCTTCTATAAGTAAGCATGTGACCTTTAGTTCCTTGCAAATATCTCATAACTTTCTTTGCAGCTTTCCAATGATCCATACCGGGATTACTTTGGTATCTACCTAACATCCCAACTGCAAAGCTAATATCTGGTCTCGTACAAGTCTGAGCATACATTAAACTCCCAACTAATGATGCATACGGAATTGCTTCCATTTCTTTTCGTTCCAATTCACTTTTAGGGCATTGCATGAGACTAAACTTATCTCCTTTCTGAATTGGAACTGGAGATGATGAGCAGTTTTCCATTCTAAATCTCTCTAGAACTCTATTAATGTATGCTTTCTGAAACAAACCTAACAGTCCTTGTGATCTATCACGGAATATTTCTATTCCTATCATATAAGCTGCATCACCCATATCTTTCATTTCAAAGTTACTAGAGAGAAACTTCTTAGTCTCATTTAAAAGACCAGGATCGTTAGTTGCCAACAAAATATCATCAAAATACAGAATCAATAATATAAACTTGCTCCCACTGATCTTCAGATATATACATCGATCAACGATGTTTTCTTTAAATCCAAAGGAAACAACAGTATCATTAAACTTAAGATACCATTGCCGTGAAGCTTGTTTAAGTCCGTATATTGACTTCTTAAGTTTGCACACCATGTGCTCTTTACCCTTTTTCTATGAACCTCATTGGTTGGTCCATGTACACATCATCTAGATTCCCATTTAGAAAGGCAGTTTTCACATCCATTTGGTGTAACTCTAGATCATAATGAGCCACCAATGCCATAATAATTCTTAAAGAATCTTTCTTTGAAACTGGTGAAAAAGTTTCTTTATAGTCAATGCCATCTTTCTGAGTGAATCCCTTTGCAACTAGTCTGGCCTTGTAACGTTCCAAGTTACCATGAGAGTCACGTTTGGTCTTAAAGACCCATTTACAACCAACTCTCTTCCACCCTTCTGGTAACTCAACAAGATCCCAGACCTTATTTTGTTCCATAGATTTCAACTCATCTTTCATAGCATCTAACCACTTATCACCATTTTCTCCATTCATGGCTTGTGAAAACGTTACTGGATCATCCTGAATACCCATGTCAAATTCAGACTCTTGTAGATATACCACATAATCATTAGAAATAGCAGGTCTTCTTTCTCTTAAGATCTTCTTAATGCTATTTGTTGTGGTTCTTCTACTATGGGTTCATTCGGTTCATCAACAATGATCTCTTTATAAGTAGTGGGATCATTAACTTGTCCTTCATTATTATTGATTGGTGCAATAGCATGAGGAACAATAACTTTACTAGAGCTACAAGTCAATGGAACTTGTATTCTCACTTCATGAATATCCACTTTACGTGGTGTTTCACTCCCACTAACTTCACCATTCTCAATGAACCTTGCATTTCCAGATTCAATAATCCTTGTAGTATGATAAGGACAGTAAAACCTATACCCTTTCGATTTTTCTGGATAACCAATGAAATAACCACTGATTCTCCTTGCATCCAGTTTCTTTTCTTACAGATTGTAGTATCTAATCTCTG